TGCCGTGGTGTCAGCCTAGCTCACAGCAACCTCAAACTCCTGGGCTCAAGCGATCCTCCTGCCTCAGCCTCCCAGGTAGCTGGGACTACAGGCACGCACCCTCATGCCTGGCTAATTTTTTCTATTTTTAGTTGTTTGGCCAATTTCTTTCTAATTTTAGTAGAGATGGGGTCTCGCTCTTGCTCAGGCTGGTCTCGAACTCCTGAGCTCAAACGATCCGCCCATCTCAGCCTCCCAGAGAGCTAGGATTACAGGTGTGAGTCACCGCGCCCAGCCCAGTGGAGATTTTTTTAAAAGGGAGATTTTTTTAACAGGAGAGAGGAAGAGAGAAGAATCCAAAATCCTCAGCTAATCTGGAGACTTCTGAAGTATGAGCAAAGAAGCTCTTTACCTCATCACATAATTAAAATTTTTAATGAAGTCTGTAAGTTGTCAAAAAAATTTCTGGTTGGTAACACTCATTGTACTCTTTAATTAGAAAGGGAAAACTAAAGGCTTTTAAAACATATTTCTACTCAAAATAATTAAAATGAAAACATTTTGGCATTTAAAGGAAAAGCTTCAGTTTTATAACATCGCATTTCCTATACACAGATGCTCCTTGATTTATGATAGGGTTACATCCTGATAAACTCACTGCAAAAATTGAAAATACCTAAGTCGAAAATGCATTTAATACACCTAACCTACCAAACATCAAAGTTTAGTGTAGTCTACCTTAAACATACTCGGAATACTTATATTAGCCTACAGTTGGGCAAAATCATCTGGCAACACAGTACCCTGTAGAGAGGTTGTTTACCCTCAAGATCATGTGGCGGACTAGGAGCTGCAGCTCGGTGCCACTGCCCAGCCCAGAGAGAGTCATGCCGCATGTATTACTAGCCCAGGAAAAGCTCAAAATCCAAAATTTGAAGTACAGTTTCTAATGAATGCATATTGCTTTCATACCATAATGAAGTCAAAATTTTAAGTCAAACCATCTTAAGTTGGAGACCATCTGTATCTTAACTATGATAAGGAGTGTACTCAACAAATAATTTGGGGAAAAAAACTATTTTCTTCAAATATAAAATCAAATCTCTGGCCACAATGATAGCCAAGTTAAAGAAATACTTGCTGTCATTGCTTATTTTAATTTCATATGACAAATGGGAAACTTAAATATAGGCTCTTCTGAAAATGCCACAAATGAACCATCCATCTTTTGTCATCATTCGACTTGCCCTGAAAATAATCACTACAAACGACCTCAATGAAAAGTTTCACATTGGGACTAAATACTACATTCAACTACAGTCATCCCATTTATTTTGTCACTGTGTAAAATACACTAAAGATGTTAGGATGGCAACATAAACAGTCTCACTCTCAAGTGCTTCATGTCTAAGGTCCAATGATATTGACAACTTTAATTCAGGAAACCAGTAAATACTGACAGAAGCTTCATGTGGAAAATAAAAAAAATCACTTCTACTTTTCAAAACATATCAGGGTACTCCTTATACCAGCTTGCTGGCTGGAAAATAAAAAATCACCATTTTGGATCTGGATACTGAATTTTAACTATAAACCAGGTGCCCACTAATTTCCCTCCAACCAAAATCATTTCATACCTGTTCCAAAGAAAACAAAAAACACTTTGAACTGCACAAAATAAATGAAAACAATTATATTGGCATATTTGCTACAAGTTAGGCACTAAGAACTAGGAGGAGTAAGCAACTCTGAATAAAATGGAAACCGAGAATTTTCACATGGCAGTACCTCTAGGAGTACCAGCCTGGCTCTGCCAACACTTATCTTTCTCTAACGAACTCAGGAAAATAATTCAGTAGGATGTTTGTATGCATTACTACCCAAGATGAATTTTAGTACTCTGGCAAGAAGCTGTCATAAGATACATAAGATGGTACTTCTGTTCAAACAAGATTTACAATTTTAACATCTCAAATCCCAGTGTAAGGAACATACTATTTTGGAAGAAATTATTCTTTCTGGTTTGAGATGACTTTAGTATCTGGAAGCTCAAATATATATATATATTTTGATTTTGCATATTGTATTATGTGGCATTATAAGAGTTAAGTCATTTCAGAGAGGTGACTTGACTCCCAAAGAATAAATAATCCCTTTGTAAATGTGGTAGCATAGGTATTGCTTACAAATCGATAGCTTGCTTCTTTACAAAAAGAATACATACTCTTGGGATTCCACAAATGCGTAAGCATTAGACTGGTAAGCATTCATTTATGCTCTAAAAATCAAAGGCTTGTCAATTGCACTTTTAAAAAGTATGCCATACTCTACTGGGAAGCAATTAAAACCTTACCTCCAGGGATCTGACTGTAGCCTGCATCTCAGCCAACTGCCGCACCTGTATTCTTTGGACATTTTCTACCTGAGCATCAGAATTCTCTTTTTCAGCCCTTAATTCTGCTACTTCAGTCTCTAAACCTTTTAATTTCTGACACAATTGGACTTTTTCTCGAACAAGTTGTTCCACTCGTTTGCTGTCTCTTGTGGGATCAACACTAAGCAGTTGGTTATGTAGTTCTTCTTTATCTTTCTCCAGTCTTACAATCTAATAATAATTTGAAAGAAAGCATACAAGCTTAAATTATTGGATTTTTAGTCATGAACATGCTTTACAAATCAGTAAATTAAAATTAAAAATTGACAATATGAAAGCTCAGCTGATGAAATGAAGTACAATGGAAAAAATCTAAAATGTCACGTTCTTCATTCTGTACTCAGCATAACTCAAATGTGAGGGCAAAGACTTTGCCCTATATTCCATCTATCTCCTCATGGTGTCCACACAGGGCTTAATCTGTTCCTGACTAAAATTCAAAGTTATAAATAATACTATAAAAATAATTATTAAAAATACACCAAGTATTTTAAAATTCATCAAAACAGGGATTCATGCACAACTAAAACTCTGACCACTGCTAAGCTTTTCCTCATGTAACAGTAATTCTTGGGCTATGTCTATACTAATAAAATTATCTATTTCAAGGCAACTTAATTCACACTAACATTGCATGTCTGTGTAAATAAAAACAAATGTGACTGATGAATGTTTCTAAATGACAGCTGAGAGTTCATTAAAGTCCTGGTTGTAATGATGGCCTGGTTGTTAGTTCTTAGATTCAAGAAAGAATTGAAAATAATCACTCCAGGGCATGAGTTAAAGTCACTGGGGAACTTCTAGAGCAGAGATACCAGTGGTCCTGTCATTCATGCCAACTATCACTGCCAGACCCCATGGGACTCCAAATCCGTGGGTTTCAAACTGCTTCCTAACCTCTAAGGCATTTCAGAGGCTCCTCACCTCTGTGGACTACAAGGTCAAGCAATCAGGGTAGAACTCATTCTTTCCATTTTCTGATCTCCCCAACTATCCCCTACCACTACCAAACCTCTATTGGTAACAATCAGGTCCTCTTTTTTGTCTCTTTTTACATATTGGCCATATGGTTCAAATTAAGGAAAAGATTCAGTTGCTTTTTTAAAAAAATGGAAGCAAACACTGCTATAAACAAGACCAGGGGTTGTTTGTAGCCAGGATGAACTTCTGCTCACTCTAAGCCTAAAGAAATGACAGGCAACTAGCCGAAAGTGGTCCAAGAGACAACTGTTTGATCACAGAGCTATAAATGAATCTAAAAAGTATGAGGCCTCCACCCCAGGGCAGGATCTGTTTTCTATATCTGTAAAATGGGAGATTGAACTGGAGGCACTCTGAGATCCTTTTCAGTTTTAACACATAGTGATTCTAATTTGGTTTTTTCATGTTGGATTTAAAATATCAATGAGAAATATAGGTAGAGCCATACAGCAGACAAAATATCATTTTTTTTCTAGAAAATTAAATTAAATTAAGGTAGCTGTAGCGTTCAGTGTTAAGTCCTCAAAAGCCCAACTAATTAGTATCTCTCTTCTACTTTTCCTCCCACAGTTTACACGTAACTATAGTATATAACTGGGTTCGGTCCCTCATTTTTTTTTCCTCCATATATTTTTTCCTTCAACTATCTTTGTAACTTTGTGCAAGTCACATTTTCATCCTGGCTTCAGTTGAAATGAACGACTTGGGCTGGTCTTTAAGATACCATTTAACTTTTATGAGGTAACTTAAATATGGTTTTAAGGTGCAATATTAGAGGTGTGGCGGCTCATCGAGGTCAGGAGGCAATGTGTAACTCAGATTCAGACAATGGTGCCCATTATTGAGTACTTACTATGCATCAAGTACTGAGGCTAAGTGCTCCACATGCAAACAATAGTAACAATAATTTCTCTTGTGGTTCCCATTTTACACATGGGGCCACATGACTCATGTTCCTAACCAGCACGTTACCTACATTACTGCTTTTCCGCTAGTTTTGAGAGGCATCCATGTGATAGCTGAAGTGACAGCCAAAGCTATGGGACTAGACGACAGCTAGGTAATGGCTCAGTCAGGATTAGATTCCATGTTTATATCTCCTAAACCAGACCTCACTATCGAATTATTCTGACCAAAACCGGTGATCACTGCCTAATTTCTCTGTTCACTTATTCATCCACACAACAAATATTTACTGAGTACTTACTAAGTACCTGGCACTGCTTTAGGGTAGGAAGGGTACAAGCCAGCAGGCAAGCACACACACACAAAACCTCTGTCAAGGAGCTTATTACACTCAATCACCACCATCACACCAGTGATTGTCCTAGGCATCTGGACTCAGATCATGGACACAACCTCGGATCTTTGCTTTTCCTCCACTCTCAATCAGATTCACATGTCATCTTCCTTGATACACTCAATTTGTTGTGCTCTCAATCCTTACGCTAACTTCCAAAGGGCTTTGCTTGAATTTTTCTTTTATGACATTTACCAGATCTTCCTATATCATAGTCACCTCTACATTTACTTTATTCTCTTCTAAAATATAAACTTATTTGACAGGTAAGATGATGTATTAACCAGTTTTACTTTCTAAAAAGTTGAAGTAAAGGAAATGAAACAGAAACAGATCAGGGACTAGGAACAGTGATTGATTTCCTTTTCAAAGAATGACAGCACCACTCCAATTCTCCAGGGCACACAAGAAGGAAAGGCAGTGTTATCTAACTGCTCCATGCATCTTTGTTTTTATTATCTTTATGATGCAGCATAGAGAAATGGGTAAGAGAACAGGCCCTAGAACCAAACCGTGTAGGTTTTTTTTCCTTTATTTTAAAGATATTGTCCTACTGTCTTCTGGCTTGTATTATTTTGAAAAAGAAGTCTGTTGTCATTCTTATCTTTGTTCTTCTATATAAAATGTCTTTTTTTCCCTCCAGTTACTTTTTTTAAATTGAACTTTTTATTTTTAAGTAACAGTAGGTTCACAAAGAATTATTAATATTTTAAGGAATAATAGATACATCCTGTGTGCCCTTAACCCAGTTTGTCCCGATGGTAACATTTCTCTTCTTCTACTTTATGGAAGACATTATGGAGAATTGGTCTTAATTCCTCTTTAAACACTTAGTAAAAGGCCGGTGTGGTGGCTCACGCCTGTAATCCTAGCACTCTGGGAGGACAAGGCAGGAGGATCGTTTGAGCTCAGGAGTTCGAGACCAGCCTGAGCAAGAGCGAGACCCC